GTATATATTAGCCTTAATAATCATAACCTAAATAGCCGGGTCTGTCACGTTTTAGGGTCTCTTTGAAATATTTCCGTTGTGTTGTGAGAAAATGCAGCACATTTTGTTAATTTGTTTGCATTGTGTGAAAATGCAGGGTGTTTTTTAAAAAAGTGTTTGCATTGTGAGGATTTGCAGCATGCGTGCTGGTAAACGGATGAAGATCTTTTCTTAATTTGCTGGTATTTTTTGTAATTGAACGTTATTTCTTAAATTGCAGCACATTAAGCTCTCTCAGCCACCATAGATTCACTTTGTGGCAGATTGGTTTAATTTACTGGTTGTAATGCTTTAAAGAAGACTTTAAAAAACCCTGTACTTTGAGAACCGACGTTGCTAAAAAAATAGTTCACATTTAATTAATTATACTTTTTTACATTTTAAAAAATATTGCATTATGTTAACCATTACCAATTTAGTAACATTTTGTTATGGCTACATATGTGCAAAAATAGCAGTAAAATACTCACAGTTAAATTATTATTCAGTACTTAATGTATAACTACCCCATAAAAGACACATTTTACTCTGTAAATAAAGGGCCACAATGTTTTATCCTAATAATCTCTTTTAAATTAAATATAAACTTTTAAATTAAATATTAACATTCCGGCAAACAAAAACAGACTTTTTCAAAGGGGTTTTATTGGTACAGTATCTGCGGCTCCATGAAGAATCTTTACCATCCGCAAACCTTTCCAGTTGTGTGGATAATAGATTCACAAAATGTTCTTCATATTATTAGACTAAGGATAAAAATTTAAGCAGTGTATTGGTATTCATATTTGAATAAACCCATTAAACTTTGGTGCCTTACACATCAAGCACCACTTCAACTCATTCAACTCTATATTACAGTTTGTTCTTTTTTTAATAACATTTTGCCTTTAGCTGTATAACACACACACACACACACACACACAAACATTTGCTACTCAGTAACCTAACTTTTTTGTTTTTTGGAGTTAGCACTTGTGTGTCAAGTGCTAGTTGAGAAATCTCTTACGGGCGAGTGCTGTTTTTCTCTGCAAATGACAAGAACACTGGTTGTTTATACTTGCATGAGAAACTCAGACGTCGTTGACTCATCCATGTTTTTTTTTTTTTTTTTTTGCAGAGAACACAAATCGAAGCATGCTAGCCTAACTTTAGCCTAGCTTTGATTAATTGTGCTCATGCAGGTTTCCATGGTTTCTCTCGCTGTCATCTGTTAGAGAGCTATGTTGTATACTGTAATGATTAGAAAGATTGATTTAAGAGAATTACTGAAACCTGCAGTGCATTTTAGCATGAGAGCTTCAGCTTTCTCAGTTTAGATTATTTTGACCTCTCTACATAATTATGAACCGAAAGACTTGAGCTCTAATGAATGAAGAAAACATGTCTTTGCCCTCCCCTTCCCCAGAAAACAACATATCATGAATAAATAAATATTCCAATGTATACTTAATATAATTAAAGGGCTGGCATGGTGGTGCAGTGGGTAGCACTGTGGCCTCACAGTAAGAAGATTGCATGTTCTCCCCGTGTTGACGTGGGTTTCCTTCAGGTGCACCGGTTTCCCCCACAAGTCCAAAGACATGCGCTATAGGGGAATTGGTGAAGCTAAATTATCCATAGTGTATGTGAGTATGTCCTGGTCGTCCAGGTTGGGGGTTGAGCGTTGGGGTAATGACCCACCTTGTAAAAATCCACCATTCTGCGGTTAAATATCAATTTCGATATAAATGGCTCTTGAAGTAAGTAAGTAAGTGTAATTAAAGGGAAATCTGTCACAGTTTTCTTACTTTTTACTTGTTCCAAACCTGTTTGGCTTTGTTTTTATGTTAAACAAAAAAGAAGATCGTGAACCTGTAACCATTGGCTTCGGTATTTGTTTTCCTACTATAGAAGCCAGCAGTTACCGGTTTTCAGTTTTCTTCAAAATATCTTCTCGTGTTCAATAGTATTAAAAACAGTTGTAAACCACTTAAGGGTTTAGAAAATATTATCATGACCTTTATTTTACAAGGAAAAGCACATTGAGATTATAAATTCTTTTTTGCAAGAATATCCTGGCCAAGATAGGCAGTATAGAGTTCACATGGGTTTAACAAACATACAAACAAAAAGCAAATAACAGGTAACATCATTCATTTATCAAGACATGCATACAATAGCTACGTTTCCACCCACCTATTTTTATGTGCATTTTGGATATGCGTGTAACAAAACGATTAATGGTAATTCCAAGATGCACATAAATGTTAAAAATATGCATAAAAAAACTTATGCACATAACTGAGTAGGATAAAATTTTCATTTGATAAGAAAAGATGCGCCTAAACTATGATGGAAACACTTTTACCGAACAAATTCCAGAATGCACATTACAAAAGTCTTGTGACTTTGTTATAAGAGATCATGTAATGATAAAATGTGTGAATGGACAAACCAACAGGCTGACCACATCTGAAGATGTCTAAAATTTTGTTTTGGTCATTCTTAAACGCTTTAACCATTTCAGCATTAGTGTTAATATATTATTAATGACCTCCAGAATCAAGAGCGTGTTCTTTGTGTGTCGACATCGTCTTCTGGGGTGAAAGTAATTTATTACAGTAAATAAGGAAAAGATTGACGCAGCTTCTCCTACAGCAGCAAATTCTGATTTTAACTGTTGATATTTGGCCCTAGTTAATCAGGAAATGACTATTTTGTTCTCTTTGACTCGTTGAACGGAAACGCTGCTTTATTTGCACATTTTTTATGTGATATTCCAGACTTGAGCATAAATATAATTTACGTTTTTGGATGGTAACATAGCATATGGTAGTTAAAAACTTTATTTAAAAAAGCCAATTTAAAATCTTTTTAAAAGCATGTAGTGAAACTAACTTTTTTAACTGCTACTTTGTTTGGAGGTTATTGCATGCAAAAGGTGCTGCATATTTAAAAGCCTTTTCTCCCATTTCAATACGCACCACTGGCACAGACAATAAAAATCCTGAGAACGAAGGCTATAGCAAATAAAAATAAAAGTAAATTTTCATCTTTGGGTGAACTACTCCTTTAAAAATGGAGTCAAGGTGGGCTGGGTCAGTTGGCATTTCGGTGTGGAGTTTGAATGTTTTCCCTGTATTGGCGTGGGTTTCCTCCAGGTGCTCAGGTTTCCCCCACAGTCCAAAGGCATGCTGTATAGTTGAACTGGATAAGTTAAATTGGCCGTAGTGTACATGTGCGAATGCAAGAATCTATGCGTGTTTTCTAGTGTTAGTTTAGATATGGAAGGAAATCCGCTGCGTAAAACATATGCTATAAAAGTTGGTGGTTCATTCCACTGTGGCGACCCCAGATTAATAAAGTTACTAAGCTGAAGTAAATAAGAAAATGAATGAATGAAAGATTAGATTGGAAATTGCTGTGTGGCATGAAATTATAAAATGACAACTGGAAAAGTAAACAAATGGAAAGTTATATGTTTACTTTATTTCTTATTATTGTTTAGTTTGTATTAATTTTGCATTAATTCATGTGAAATCAGTATAATATTTTTAGACAGTACCGCAACTCAATAAATCCTTTAGATGTCACTTACGTTTTATAAGGCTTCCCGTTTTGTGTATTGTAAACTCTCTAACATGTCATGTGCCCTTAGGCTGGTTAGTATTGATCTGGTTTATGGACCAACAAAGCGGTTTACTAGCTAAATGTTGCAGATGGTGATAAAGCTGACTGATAAAGGAAGTCCTGCTGTTTATCTAGCCATACAACACTGAAAAAATCAAAACTACTAGATCTTTCCTTATTGACATGGCAATTTTTTTAAAACTGCGCCTGATTTAAGGAATAGCCGTGTCAGTAAAAGTTTTTTAATATTTTTCCACATTTTTCAAGTGCCTTGGATTGATTTTTGCTGTTTATTCTGATGAATACCTCACCCAAAGAGCACCGACACATTATTTAAGCTACCCCTGAGCACTTTTTGTTTTATTATAGATTACTATATCTTTCATAAAAAGTGCATTTTTATATCGGATTAAGTGAAACATTAAGATTTCTAATTAGAATCTGTTTCATTCAAAGTTGAACAAAAGTAATTTAGTAAATTACTTATGATCTCACAATATTTTACCTTTGAGTGAATGTATTGTCTAGGTCATCAGAAATCATTGTTTCTTTCTTATTGTTTACTCAGAGATATCTTTGTATGCATCTATAGGCTTTTGTCTTCCTGGAAAGCTCTGCTCAGTGACTCTCGATTGCATTAGCAGCCATATGGCATTTTATACTTGTCTGTGTGCGCGTTCATGTCAGCTCAAGGTAATTACGCCATATATTGAAATATTCATCGGGTCCCCGGACACTCTTTTCTGTGCCCTCGAGTCCGGCATCAGGGTCTAGATTGCGTCCTCTCCTGTGATACAACATCAATGACATGTTGTGAAAGTGGCGCGAGATGCCATTCGGGCTTTAACGACAGACATACAAAAGAGATCCAGAGAGCTGTCAGTTCTTTATATCCCCTCTGCCCCCTGGGTAAACCTTCCGGGAAATCAACAGTTTGATATGCAGAGGCATGCTGAAAAATGTACAGGGGTAATAAAAGCATGCACGGATGTGGCATTTAGCCAAATATGCTTGCTGATATATATTCGCGCCCGTGTCAGCCTTTGAGCGAAGTGACAGTCTTTTATCGTCAATATGACAAAAAAAAAAAGCCATTGAGGGGGATCCGACTCTGATCTGGCCTTGTTTGTGTTTATGCATGTTCTCTGACATTTACTTTGCGACATGAAAAGTGCCCGTGGGTATCGCATTATGGATACCGGGGGGCTTTAGAGGGAGAATTCTCATTTTGCCGGAATGAAACTCACGCTGGGACTAGCCTTTTATCATCTAAGTGCTTTTTTTGGTTGATGCACTTTTTATGCTTGTTGACGGAATTTCTTTTCTCTCTTCTCTCTTCTCTTTCGCTCCAGGCCTCGTGAAGCTGGGGATCCACTGTGTCACATGTCAGAAAGTTGCCATAAAAATTGTAAACCGGGAGAAACTCAGCGAGTCTGTGTTGATGAAGGTAAGGCTGTGCTGTTTTTTTCAGTGTACCGCATGAAGTAAACCGAGTAGTTTTTATCTACACTGAGCTGTAATGGGATCGAAAGTGGATTTCAGATTGCTCCAAGTACCAAATCTGTCAATTACATCACACTTACACTATGATAGGCGAGTTAGAACATTTACATTTATTTAGATCGCTCACAAAGCTTATCCTGTCACAATAATATACATTTGTTATGTGTGTCAGCACCATTTCTGTCCTAATTACGCCGAGGTGTTGCTTCCACAGCAGCAAAACATGAAAGAGTGTATGAGGAGAAACGGGCAGCTGTCACCGTGCTGCTGAACTGCTGTCAGGGGATTGTTTGAGTATATGAAAGCATTACACAGTTACACGGTTGGCCCACAGCAGCAACTACCACTATCAGACTGGACATTGATTAGTAGGAGTTCAGTTGAGGTTATCTCTAATTGTTCATTATCCGGTTTGAATCCAGTGTTGCTGTCAGCTCTCCTTCTGTAATCCTCTAATTGGTCTTTTGAGGAAAGCGGCGTCCTGTTTGTTACTTCATATAGAGTGCATGGCTTGTGATATAAAAAGTTCCTTCTCTTTGTTTGTTAAAAGCTGGACGTTTGGGAGAAATTCCCCAAGAATGAACTTCATTCCCCATTAGCTCTATTTGTAAAGAAATAAAATTAAAGTCCAGAGACATTTGGGGTTGTTTCTACTGATCGTGAATTTGTTTCCACTGATTACAAAGTTGTGAAAAGGCTGGTGGAGGGAAATTTTAGGCTACTGGCCAAATCCTAAATTGCAGATGACATGCCTGATGTAACAATGGCTGTTGTGTGCGCACAAAATTGTACTCTCTCAGGCTGTAATGGAAATCACCCCCAACCCCCATCCCAACATTAGACTACTAATATGGTCCACTTAAAAGGAGTGAATGAAAACGAGTGCCAGAAGGGATGCCGTTTTGTTTGTGCAGGTTGATAAATCCCTCAGACAGATTCGATTATTAACTTACCTGTGATAGTTAATGAACACTTATTGAGCTGTCTAATAGCTTTATGATTTATGTCATGTATACAAATGTTAATTTTACAATTAGACCATAAATTATATAAAAAATTACACTGGTTTTACTGTAGATGGCATCCTGTGGACAGATGTGAAAATTAATTTGGTGCGCAACTCTCAAAGTGCAATATGGGTGTTCTCTAACCTTTGAGTCTACATTGGTTGTACACTCGTCGTTGTGATGCATTGTGAGATTTACTGATGCAATTCATAATGTCCACCACAAATGGCTGCTCCATCAAATAGTGCACTATATAGGGTAAGGCAGGGCGATTTGGCCTAAAATTAAAATCTCTATAAATTGAACATTTTAACTAGATTACAACTAATGCACGATTATTTATTTTTTCATTTCATGTTTTTGCCCTCATAGTTCACAGACAAGTTTCGTACAGTAAATATGCTCACATATTACAAGTCAGAGATTTTTTGAATGAAGGGTGCACTACCTGACTTTAAAATAATTGAAGTAAATACACACTACTACTACTATTTATAGGTATTTATTGTATATCAATGCTGGACAACTTTAATTAAAGCACACATTACCCAAAACGCGGCTCTTCGCACCATCCACCCTCATCACTGATGCCAAACTGACCAATCACAAAGCTTGTGCTACAGTACGTGTCGTTGTGACATGTAGTTATTTATTTTTTTTGATCGGTGTGCCAGTTGTTTCAACTTATTTTAAATAAGTAGTTTAAACAAGCAGGAAAAGGCATTTTTTGAGTGCAGGTTGTCTGTCTTGAATTTTCTTTGACAGAATATCATGAGGTTAATGTAGGTCTGCATGATTAATCAAAAAAGATTACAATCTCAATTCGACCCGCGGATCTTAGCATACGATTCAGCCAATTATATTTTCAAGTTCGGGATAAGCATAAAGGAGGTTGTACAAGTTTTTGCATTGTTTTACGTTCATGGACACCTCCAAATAATGTTGAACATGTCACATACTGTATTTATAAGGTATAATTCACCCAAAAATGTCATTACTGTCTTAATGTAATGATGTATTTGCGGCTGCGAAATGACAAGTGACCTGACGCACTTTTTGTTTACTACTGAGGGGACATGCGCGTGCCTGCATATAAGTGAACAGAACCTGCATATGATGTGAATAACAGGTAATAAAGTTGTAAATAACATTCAGTTTGTTGCAGAGGGCAAACGTTTGAGAGCCGCAGGGAAAGATAATTTGCATGTATGTTTTTTGTGATGGCAGCCATTAGATGAGCACACTCGGCAGTAAAAGTGAAACCAAAAGCCTGATATAATTTAAATAATCATTTCGCATTTTAGAGTTATGATTATGACAAGCATTTGTTTTATAAATGTTTTATTTTTCATAGCCACACAGAGTGTTGTGCATGAAAATAAATAATTAACAGTGACACTAGAATAGAATGCAAGAGGGAATCTGATAAATGTCTCATTTTACCAGTGAAAAAATTGTCTAATGAGGTTGTCTGAATCTTATGTCATCACTTTACTGTGCAGCCAGGACAAATTTAAGGTCTGTTCAAGTCCACCATTCAAAGTCTATACCAGGGGTCACCAATCTCGTTCATGGAGGTCCGGTGCCCTGCAGTGTTTTGCTCCAACTTGCCTCAACACGTCTTCCTGGGTGTTTCAAGTATACCTAGTAAGACCTTGTTTAGCTTGTTCAGGTGTGACTGATTATGGTTGGAGCTAAAATCTGCTGGACACCGGACCTCCAGGAACACGTTTTTTGATCCCTGGTCTATACAAGGTAGCATTTTAACCAACAGTAGACCTACATAGGGCTAATGTTATTATTATTGTTTTACCACATGTTTGGGAAATAACAATAAAAACAGCCAACTCATAATAACCTTTATTTTGCATCTACAGAATCGTCAGAAAATCATGATCTTGATTTTAAGCCAAAAACATTGCGATTTAGCCTGAATTTATGCAATAATCATAGGTTAATGCATAAATGTGATTTATATGCTATTGTGTGATCAACACAATTTTCTTTATAATCTTACAGCTGAATATTACACTTTCATATTATTTTTTGTATGGAAATGATGGTGTATAAATGACAGCATTAGAGATTAAACTAGTTTTCAACATTAGGTGTAAACCTTTAAAAACATTATGGACAACTGATATTGAATGTGCCCCTGCTACAGTATAAGTTGTGTGTTTCACTTAAGTGCCAACTTTTGTCAGTATGTAATAACTTTTCTGGAAAACAAGTTAACTACCCAGAAAAAAACAATGACAAGACAATTTGTGCTGTACATTTTCGGTGGTCACACATGCCTGGGTGTTTCTTATAGCATTATCTGTAAGTCAGCATATTTCCTTGGCTTTACTGAGTGAATAATTGACTGTGTCAAACCGCCACTGTGTTATTACATTTTTTTTAAATAAAAAAAGACAAGATGAGCCTAGGAAGGTGCTGATTTAGCTTTTTTGCTTTATAAATTCGGTAAGCTTTTACATAAAAGTCACCTCAACTTTTGACCCAGTCACTGTAATTTCCTCTTGGAGTCCATTCAGCATCATATGGATTTCATTAAATGGTTAATGGCTCATTAACTCCTGGTGGATTGTGGGGCAGTAGTAATTTAGATGGGCTGATTGGTTCCTCATTGAAATTGGATGTGAGAATGGGCTATACAGACATCCGGTCCACATGCAGTCCCCAGACCCCCCTGCTCACACATAGGTGTTTGGACTACAGTGGAAATTGGTTCTCTGCAGGAAATAGACCTAGGTCTTCTGGGAGTTTGATTGTGGATGCATGCTTTTGTGTTTCTCATTGTCTTACTTTACTTTCCTCGCCAAGCCGTATAATTTAGAAAACAAGCAGATGCGGTCTGATTCTAAGTCGGAGTAAAGCCGCCTCCATGACTGATAGTTAGTCGCACTCCTCTGAAGGTCACTCTGTAAGCTATTCTATTGTATCTCCTGCTTATTTTAGCTTCTCTCAGGGGCTGTTGGCATGGAAACCTGACATGATTGGCTTGGGGAGGGATGTGGTGTGAGAAAATTATAGGCTTATAGTAAAAACGGTTTTAGATGCTGTACACTTCCGTCAATATATCAGAGATTTTGCAGACAACAGGAATCAGCGGCAATAGTATGAGACAGTAATCTGTGCAGTCCAAAAGTCTTGACTAATCTTCTCTGTGGTGTAATTTCCCATGATTTCCAAGATTCAAAAGCATCATGAAGTCATTGGGTGTGATTGCAGCAATCCGCTTGTAGAGACGTGACGCATGAAATACTGTTTCTGGGTACAAACCACTGCTTGATTCAACTGAGTGTATTGTTTCAACATTTATAATCACTATTTATTCACAACAATCATTTACCTTTTATAAACTCCTGGCATACAAAACAAAACCGAAAATTAGCTTTCCCGAATCATCCCAGACACCAATATTTTAATTAGAGGTGTAATGACACACTGAGGTACTCTCGATGATTACAATCATGATACTAAACTGATATTTTAAGCCAAAACAAACAAACAAACAAACATAAAATGTATATATATATATATATTTTTTTTTTTACTTCTTAGACATATAGTTGTTGTAATCGCCTGCTGTGTTTTCTCTGTTAGAGATTACATTCTATCGAACTACAACTCCCAGCACCTTTGCATCCATCAACTACAGCTGACAAAAATCTGGACATTCACACACAGATACAGCTGTTGCTCATTTCCACTAATTACAGCAAGCTACAAGAAGTAATCCCCAGTGGAGACAACACTGCAGGCAATCAATTGTACAAAAGTCAAAAACATTATACATATTACTTTTTTATAATTATTTTTTAGGGGTTTTCACCTTTACTTATAGGACAGTGGAGATTGACAGACAGAAAAGTGTGGGGAGCAGAGATAGGGGAAGGATTGGTAAAGGACCTCGAGCCGGGAATCGAACTCG